CCAACGTTTCGCCTTTGCGGCTTCCTTGAAGTAGTTAAAAAAGTCGAGTATTTAGGAATAATATATGACAGAAAATTAATTTGGAAAGACCTTGTTGATAATTGAGTTAAAAATGGTTGATATAGACATAGTTTTTAAAGAAACTAATTACAAAACAAGGAAGATGTGATAGTAAGCTACACAATGGGCTATCTGTGCTCTGCCCACCACGGGTCTCGAAACCCGGATTCTACCGTTGTAAGTCCGCAGACATACCGCTGTGCCACTATGGGGGAGAGCGGTTGAAAGAGAACCAGAATCATCAATCCTCATGTATTAGAGGATAAATTCCTTCTCTCTCCCAGAGAAAGGCGCAAATATATATTTGGACTGTAAAGATCGTTTTTTTCTAAACTTTTTATCAAAATGTGTAATATTTGAAAATTATTGCTGTTTATTTTAGCAACAAATGCAATGAGTCCTAGGATTTAATATTTTGTGCAGATTCTTTCTAAGAAATCTATTCACCAGTTTTAAAAAAATGTTTTTAAAAATAAACATTTTTATTTATTTTTATGTTCTAAATCTTCTAAGACTCTACAGGCGTAAAAAAGATTCAACAACAACAACATCAGAATATCAAAGCCGTCATGTGATTATATTATGTATCAATATCGTGGATTTATATAGTGTTTTTCTATCTTCAATTAAGTTGTAAAAATGCAGAACTCATAATAACAATTTTACACTACTCATATTTCGTGTATATTTGTTTTAGCCCAAAAATGTAATAGATGGCGCCTAACGATAATTAGCGAGCGAGCACAATATATTTACTTTTCTCGTCATAAAACTAAAAAAGAATAAAAAGTAATGAAGGATATTTAAAGCCTGTTATTTAAAATAACTGTTTGTTTTTATAATTCTAACTCAAGCCTGTATTCAAGTAGTGTTTTAACATCATAATAATTTTTAAAATAATGAAGAACGAAAACAAGAATAGTGGGTTAAACTTTTAATTATAACATATTTGTATTTCTGGAAGAATGGAGACTAGAGCATTAATAATAGAGGGTTAATTCTAGTTCAGTTTTATCTTAATGAGACAGATAACTACTCTATTTGCGCCATTTTTTTAAAAAATATGTGAGGTATTTATTCTTACTTTCTTTAGAACACGTGCACTGTCCTCCTTGTTAATGCTAAACTATTAATATTTTTTGTTTGATTAACCGACTAATTCATTAACAAATATTTGCGAAGACATCTCTTCACAATTCATTGGTTTTAATTTCCAGTTTGGTGCTGAGGGTAGCGCGGAAAATGATAAAATCCAGAGGTGGCAACAAGAACAGATTCGTCGTCAACAGGAACAGTTAGTCCAACAACATCAAAAAATCCAGGACCTCCAGGTAGGCTTCCATTCCACGTGAGATTTATCAAATCCAACGAAGCATTGTTTCGTTCTGCCACTTCAAAGTGCTCTTGTTTGTACTCATAACATTGGTCATCAGTACTAAACACTGTTGTAGAAACTTTGGCACAGGTCATAAGTCGTTTACTGACGTACAAAGTTTTTCTTCGCTATTCAGAATACAGTCATTACCTATGTCTAGTAATCGTCATATTATTTAATATCGATATCAAATTAAACGCCACTGATCTCTTGGTACCTTTTTGTGACTCTGGGGATCAACCATCATTTAACTCTGTCCTTTCCTGAAGGAAGGAGTTAGCCTTCCAGAAAATGTTCCAAAGTATGGTATATACTTAGTGTACAGCTACAGTTTGTGGAATATTAAACATATCCGGATTACATAGTTATAAACATATTACTTATATTCAACACGAAATATTCTGTTATATAATATTAATATTAAATATTCTAATACATTTTCTGTTGAATCTCTTATTAAAGTACTTACTACCCGTACTTGTAAAGAACATATGTGTCAAACTACCACAGGGGGAGTTATAAGAATAAAACTTTAGTGCTTTCACTATAAGATTTGTTTTTATATTTATAATATAAACGTGTGAAAACTTTTTACACTTTTTTCCACTCCCATTGTGCCTGAATTAGAACTTCAAAATCGTATTTTCCAGGTGAAAGAGTTGTGCATGAAAGAAGTCGTAAATGAGAGAGAGAGAGACTGCAATCCCATAATGTAGATTCATCTAACAGAAGTTTTTCTACTAGACGTTGATTTTTTGCTGCTCGTGTGAAAGCCATGTTTGTAATTTCAGTCAGGCTACAGGAGAGCTGCAACACTGAACTTACTGAGCTTCTTTCAATTTGATATTCAGCGGGTAGAAAACACAACTGAATGAGGGATGCTATAATTTGTCGTCTGGTGTAGCTAGAAACAAGTGAGAAAGTCTCTATTGGGCCCCACATTGCTACTGATCAGTGGAGTCTAGCCTCACCATTCATCATTGTCATTTATATCAGGTAGCTGTCTGGAATGGATGGACTAAGTGACAGGCAGTACAATACCTGATTCTGAAACTAGATAGTTCAGTGTTTGACCCAATAAAGCATTTGAATGGTGAGTAGCTCACTGAATGGAATACACTGGTTGAACTGCAAGAAAATATCTAAATATCAAGCTCTATCAGCCCCAGTATAAACGTCATAGGAGAAGATCCCAAGAGAGAACCGGGCCACATTGAAGATAATTTGTACTATCTAAATGGGAAGACATATACTACTTTGGCAAGCCAAGTATAAGTACAGAGGTGAGTCTCTAATTTCTTCTTCATGCTGTTGCTTGCAAAACAAAAGGTGGTTGTCTCCAATCCTGGTTAAGATATTGGTATCTCAGAGATCGGAATACCAAGAATTGTCATTCAGTTTCAATTATTTCACAAGTGACTTACACTTCTATGGACTATGGATAAACCGCTCAGTGGTGATCAGAATGGGCCTGAGAACAGTGGATTGCATAAACTTGAACGGTCACTGGAATAGTAAAGGAACCAAATATTACAAAGACCTGTCAGGTAACTCGTATCACTGAAGTTCCAGATTCAAAAGCAAAGACGTGGCTTTCTGAGCATCTGAAGTCTATTATTGAGGATTTTACCTCCAATATAAACTCAACACAGAGATAGGAACGTCTGCTCATATGTTTGTAAGACAAGATAATTTGAGTAAAACAATAATAGAATGTCTCAAAAAAAAACTTAAATGATAAGCATCTGATAAAATAGCCTCCATACAGGCTTTCTTGTATGTTGAAGAATGCAAAACTTACAGCCTTTTGAGAGTCCTTAGTCATGTCTAGTAATAATTATAGGGAAGAAAGATGGAATGTTAAGATTATCATGGATTTTAGATGGATGGATTCAGTAATATTCACCTATGGGTTAGAAAGATGGAATGTTAAGATTATCATGGATTTTAGATGGATGTATTCAGTAATATTCACCTATGGATTAGAAAGATGGAATGTTAAGATTATCATGGATTTTAGATGGATGTATTCAGTAATATTCACCTATGGATTAGAAAGATGGAATGTTAAGATTATCATGGATTTTAGATGGATAGATTCAGTAATATTCACCTATGAGTTTTGTTTTTCTGTGAATTGACAAACATGTAAATATATAGAAAGCTCACTGATAAAACAAACTAGACCTGGGTTTTGGCTTTAGAATCAATGCATAAAATGCATTGTTTTCTGTTGGGTAATATCCTATTTAAACAACACTGTTTGTTTGACTGCTAAAATTGTCTTCGTGCTGATCTGTAGTTGTGAGCACTTGAGTATTCAGCTCTCCATCAAAATGGACATTGGTTGGGTGAATGAAATAAAAATAGCTAAAATTAACTGTAAAGCTAGCGTTCCTTCAGCTGCACCAAATTCAAGAGCAAATGTACGGCCACTATAACAGCTGAGATCATTAGTTAAGGATTGTGTGTGCAATTTAGACTCAATATATTAACAAGAACTCAGTGCGTTGATTGTAGAATTTGACAATGTATTTGGGACCAGATAGCTATTTGGGTTGGATAACAGCAAATTAACACCACAGAGGTACAGGTATACACAGCCAATAAAATAATCACAGCATAAGCTCTCCTGCAGTACTAAAGACAAATATAATGCTGATATTCAGCAGACGTTGAAAGACAGAGTAATGTAGCCTTGAAAGTGTCATCTCTATTGGTGTTTGTCAGAAAGAAGGAAAGCACTACAAAGATCTGTGTGTACTTTAGGCATGTGAATGAGATAAGCATAATAATTCCTTTGTGCTGTTACAGACAGATGAAAATCTGAGCTTGCTGGAAGGTATTCATTCGTTACACTAAATTAAACCTGGCTTCCAGATACTGCAAACTCTAAATGAATGATGGAAGCAGACCTATGACTGCCTTCAGCATTTGTAATGGCTTGTATGAATTTCATGTCATGCCATTTTGCCCTTGTAATGTATCAGACACTTTCAAGGAATTCCATGACTTGTTAACAAGATTAAAAAACAAACAAAACATACTTGCGTTGGTGCACGTAGTTTTGTTCAGCAAGCAGATAACCAACTTTGAACTGTGCTAACCTTAATCTTGAGCTTGCTACACATTGCCTCTTGGTATTTCTAGGTTATCCCATAACTGATGTTGCTGGGAAATTCCCTTAGGCTTAAAGTAACAGGTTTTCTGGACACTTCAGATACGTGAAGATGTAGAACTGTGGAATATGTTGTCTTTCCTTTTTTATAATGGGAGTGAACAGGTGGTATGAGCGGCAGAGCACTCTGGGAGAGTAAGCCGTGTCCAGCTCTTAATATAGCAAGTTGGATAGAGTTGATTCTCTCAGATTAGTTCTGAGATCTTGTGTACATTGCTAAAGAAAACGATGCAGGCTTTCGGTGTTTCGTGGTTGTCCCTACATGTTGAATGTGTCTGTATTTTGTGAAACAAAAACACTTGTTTTTATTGTGAAACTTTACTGTCCAATCTCTTCCCTTGTCTTACTTCAGTCGGAGTTACAATTCAGAACACAAATTCTGTAACAGATTTTCTGCTGAACCACTTATTAGAGCAGTTAACTACATCAATCTGTAGGAAATCGGTGCACTTGAGAATATTTCACAAATATTATTATGTGATAGGTTGAATAGTGAATCAAGTTTTTAAATCGCTGTGTAAACTTTCTGAGTTGAGCAAGGGTATTTTAGTTAGTTTTGTGTTGTTGTTCTTATCACCAGCAATGAAAACATATTGAACACTATTTAATCAAATAAACTTCATGTTTGTGAGTAAAATTGGGTATTTCTAACTTCTCACTGTAAAACATTTTCTAAATGTTTCCATACATGTTTCGATTGATCAAGAAAATTAACAATTTCTTGGACGATAGAACCGACTCAATGGACAATACATGGCAGCTGCGGGCGTAAAGTCCATACGAGGACTTCCGATCTTACCTGACATCCTGACTCCTCAGACGCTTATGTATCTTCCACTGATGGACGGAGGACACTCGGCAGCAACTGAACTCCCTTATTCAGCTACTGCATTCCCAAGAGAAAGTAGTTCGGTCACGACAGCAGCGGCCATAACGTCTCTACTTCCTCAAGTTCCATTTACTGCCGCTTGTCGACAAACTGGACAAACAGCCAGTTTACCTTCTCTAACGCCAACGGTATGTGAATCGATTAATCATCCTTATCAGTGCAAACTAGCTATTAAAGTATTATGTTACTAAGTTGATTGTAAACAAGATCCTGGTTATTTACTTAACAAATTAATGAATTTTATAATCTATATTTTACTCAGTTTCTTGCAACAGACAATTTTCACCAGTATCTTACAGCTATTACTAAGTATTTGTACATACAAGAGAATTTATTTTTGACTTGATTTATGAAAAAGCTGTTCCAATAGTTTAGACTCATGTTGAATATTATAAATACTTGATTGTACATCAATAGTAGGTTTATTTAATGAAATCATATAAACGATTTATTTTTATGTTTATATATATAACTTTCCACAAAATAGAGACAAAGGTTATTTATTGTTTTTTTAAACACATGAATTTGTTCGATAAAAATGACGAGTCAACAGTTTATATTTCGAAGTGGAACTGCGAAGCGCTCTCAAACAAAATATCTGTTGACGATTAACACAAGTGAAGCTCAATGGTTGACATCTTTGTTTGTTTGTTTTGTTTTTGATTATGCACAAAGCTACACAAGGGCTATCTGTGCTCTGCCCACCACGGGTATCGAAACCCGGTTTCTAGCGTTGTAAGTCCGCAGACATACCGCTGTGCCACTGGGGGGCGGTTGACATCTATGACTAGCTAAAGAGATAAATAGAACAATTTCCTATTTGTTACTATTTCCCAGCTAGTTATTATTATATCGTGTGAAAAACGTGACAAACCTTGAATGACTTTTGTTATTGAAATTGCCCCCAGTGGCACAGCGGTATGTCTGCGGACTTATAATGCTAGAAACCGGGTTTCGATACCCGTGGTGGACAGAGCACAGGTAGCCCATTATGTAGCTTTGTGCTTAATTCCAAACAAACAAACTTATTGAAATTCTTGAATGCCTAGTAGTCATCAAGATTTTTTGGAAGTTTGTTTGTTTTGAATTTCGCGCAAAGCTACACGAGGGCTATCTGCGATAGCCGTCCCTAATTTTGCAGTATAAGACTAGAGGGAAGGCAGCTAGTCATCACCATCCACCGCCAACTCTTGGGCTACTCTTTTACCAATGAATAGTGGGATTGATCGTCACATTATAACGCCCCCAAGGCTGAAAGGGTGAGCATGTTTGGTGTGAGAGGGCCATTTTTGGAAGTTTTACAAAATATTGATTGAATACGATTTCCAACTGAAATTATCTCAATTGCTTATGTTTAGCATGTTTGCATCGTCATGAATTTTTAATTTGTTTGTTGTTTCACGGAAGTTTGTTTTAACTTATCAGTTAAGTGTTAAGTTTCAAAGAAATAAAATGTGTAAATAATATGAAAAATTACAACAACAAAAAACGAATGTTTTTAACAGAACATGCAGTGGGAACACTTACATTACATAGTTAATATTTAGGAATTACGTTCCATCAGCTTTTAGTTGTGGTTCTAGAAGATTAGTAGTACATCGGGCATTTCCAAACACATAAAAGGTCGACACTGTTTGCAAAGAACATCAGAAATCCCATTACAATATATTGTACAAATCCTCTGTGAAACAACTTTGTTACCATGACAAACTTAAAAGACACTTTCTTTAATTTCCATACACTTAGTGCTTATAAAAACTGGTGGAAAATTTAAATATGCAACATCTATAATAAACCTAACGACAGTGCTATATTGTGTCACTTTTGAAAAAACTGTTTGTTTTGTGATTTTTTTTCATTTATTTAGTGGATAACTTAGTTCATTTTAAGTGAGATCACATTGTAAATTGACTCATAAAAAAAAATTCGCCAACACTTTGCGGATTAGTCGACCCTCCGTGCACCTTATCATAGAACTTTTCACACAAGAGTATGTGGTTGCCGGTAATGTACACACCACGCGTAGCTTGTCCGTAGGGAGTCGTGCAAGCCCGTGGAAAACTCTGCTGCCCCAGCAAGTTCTGCAGGAAATCAGTGATTACGTAAGATCAGCATGTTGTAAATCGGACGCTCCTCGTACAGAAATAATTGCGATGCGTCCAATGATTCTACCATAAAGCACGGTAAAATTAAATCAAAGCCGGTCACAAGAACAGTTCTTTGATCTTCCCGCGAATGTAAAACGAACAAAAGCGCGGGCAGTGGCTATGAAATATTAAGAGCAGAATGGTTCATGTGCGTTGTAAATGTTCTTTATTCAATTGACTTACATTAAGAAATAAAATATTGAAGCAGATTAGGTATGGCCTAACAATAGCGGAAAGAAACCAAAGCTAGATTGTATACTTGGTATATATGTTAGCAGATCAAATGTTTCAACTTGAAGTTTACCACGGTTTTCAACTCTTTGTTTCTTTTATTTCTTGAAAGTCGGCTGAATTAAATAACAAACGTTATATCTTTTTTAAACCGTTAAAAACTTTTATTATTGATGTTGCCGTTTAATTCAATGCATCCAAGAGTGAACGATCGCTCTTTTGTTGAGAATGTGAAGGGTGCTTTGAAATAAGAAAGTTGCTGATATGTTCTTAGATTGAAGATTTGAAAGTGTTTAAGTTGTCTGAATTCAAGCACATTACACTGTCTTGCACCAAGTCAATAAAGCTTGCCTTTTTACTTGAGCATTTCAAGCAAATCGATAACACGGCTGGACTGAAATTTTAGAAATACCTTGTCTACGTTTCTAATCTAACCGCCATATTTAACTCCATATTAACAATATGTTTATCTACAGAATACTTATATAGCTGTTAAGTTATAAATTTGATTGTCTATTAATTCAAAAACATTATTTAAGGAACATTATATTTTTAGGTTTTCGTGTTACATTGTTTTAATTTGAGCTTGTCCTATAAAAACAACAATTACGTTTGAATATTCTTTAATAACACTAGAAGTTTTGTGTAAATTGAGGCTGGTTCTTGAGCTGTGATAAATTATAATAAAACATAATAGTTTTCAGCAGTCAGTTGGTACATTTAGGTTTATAAGATGCGATTTTCTGTTAATGAAGTTTGCAATTTGAAAACATTTAAATTTTGCCACCATCTTTTTAATATTTAAATGAGTTTATCTTTAATTTAGCTATGTTTGTTTCAAAGAAGTAAGTAAATCGTAAATTGTTGCATAAACGTACTTGTATATATGTGTTTTTTTTATCTGCATGTACGTAAACAAACCTGACTTGAACACTATTAATATGGTAAGTACAAAGCATAAAACACAACAGCAGTTTCCAAAACTCATTAGTATAATTTTTGTATGGATAGGTTAGTCCTAAATAATTCAATAAATTATATAATATTTTAACAACAACAATAACTAAAGGTTGTAGTACTCCTTGAAGCTAAAGAAGTTAGCAATATCCACACTTTGTACATAGAAAATTTGTTGCTGTATAACGTGTATATGTGAATATAGGTTATAAACCTATATATATATATATAATGCATGTATCACAACTCTATAACTTGTGGTACTGATTACATGCACGCACACTATATTACCAAACCTGTTGGTACAACACATTCCAGCTAGCAATGAGCCTTTCCAGACTGAACTTACATACCAATCTAATGGAGCACGACAGTATAGGTTTTATCAGTGTCAGCAGCTGTCAACATAATGCTGCTAATAAGAGAGCACGCGAACCACGTGAGAAATCAGTTCTGGGCTCAGTATTGGTGGAATTATTTTGCCTACTTCTACCCGAGTAATAACTTGTAGGAATGGACAACCATTGGACGCATATGTGGAATGTCATATATTAATCACTTCTTTGTTAAAGGAAACTTTGAAACGTGTTATGAAGTGAAGCCACACATCTGGCGTTATATACATTATATAATTTCTGTGGTGCATATTGGTGTATAAAAGACATTTCAATACTAGAAATAAACAACCTTATAATACCAACTTTCTTATTTTTCTGAAATTGGACACTCAAAGTTTCGCTCTGCAGCTTCTTCAGGAACGTTCTACTAAAACACAAACCGTAAATCCATTGCTGAAGACTTTAATGAATGTTCAAGATTGGAAGTTATCTACTGTGCCCAGAAAGCTCCATTCTACTGGTTTTTATGGACGGACTGGGCACTGTAAGATAATTATCACAGCCAAGAATGCTGGGTGTTGACTCTTACGATGCCTAAAGCGTCAGAATTGGAATGAAGAATAATGCAAACAATCGTTTCAAGTAAACAGTCTTGTTACGCCCTCATTTTGTTTCAATGAATCTGATATGACTCTTTGGACACGACTATGTTATTCCAACTCTGAAGATCGGTAGAGGCAATATCACGGTGTTAAACCTATTTTAGGTGCTCTGAACTTGGTCTATTGCCTTGTTGTATTGTGGTATTCTGGACAATACTGTATTTTTTGCAACAATGAAAATCTTTGAGGACGGACCCTGCATAATTCAGCTTGATAATGTGCCATATCTTAGTGAACTTCGATTTTAGCGCTAGTTTAAGGCGAATAACGTCTTGAATCCCAGTTATTCGACCTAGATACAGTTTAAACGTTTTTGAAGACCATCTGAGAAGCAGAAAGGACAAGCCAAAAACGTTCATGATACTCTTTAACTTCTTTGCAAGAGAGCAAATGGTCTTTTTCCCTACATGTGTACCAGAAGATTATGGCCATGTTGTTAACAGGCTGTAATTAACGCCAAAGGCAGACCCACTCTTTAGTACAACGGGACCCCAGCAGCGAACCATGGAGCCCCTTTTTTCAGAGTGTGTTGTACCTCCCACTAATTTATATTATCTTATGATTGCAGCCATGGAAACAGCTGAAGTAAAATTGCCATGGATAAGGAAAAAAGAAAAAAACAACAACATTTCAACTAAACACATTTTCTCGTATATAGATTTCCTGACAGTTTCAATTCACCATTAAGATATTTTATTCGTAGACAAATATAAACCACAAGTAATATTTCACAGTGTTACAAAATAATGTTCTATTTAATAATCATCGCATATTTTAACTAAGGCTTTCGTGTAATGATAGTAACATATTATAGGGGCGGAACAGTCTGTACTTTTAGTAGTAATATATCTGTGATATAATGTTACAGTATGATCGATAAGAATATTTATCATATATGCTTAATGGCATGGATTACCAGCTAACATGTCTTATATTCCAAGTTTTATAATTTGGTATGTAATGTGAAATCATGTTTATGCCACTCTATTAATTATATTTATCAATACAGTAATGTTAGTGAATTTATTTCGTTCTTTCCAGCCCCATCCGTGGGTTTGTGGAAGTGTGCCAGTGTCAAGTAGCCCTGTAACCTCCACTCGTTTCGGATCAGGCTCCACATGTGGAAAGGTTCGTCATAGAACATCTATCCCAGGAGTCTCGGGCCCAATATCTGAGGGCGAAGCTCCTCTTAATCTCACTAAGCCCAAGTCATCAAGCAGCAAAAGCAACAGGTACAGAGATCTGATTGTCTTTCAGTTTGTAAGTTTAAATAAAAATTATTTCAATTCTTAATTTATTTATTAAAAGATAGACGTTCATTGAGATAAGTTTACTCATCAATAAGAATTTACGTAAAAAAAGAAACTGAAAAAAATTCGACCACTTGTAATGAGTTACAAAACAGATACGCCCTCTACATTTGACTTTTGAGAATTTATTTAACAACCTTGTGAAATTCTTGTATGTTAGAAAAGATAAAAATGTTTTTGACCTGGTACACTTTGAAAGTAGTAATGTGTTTTACTATATGCCGTCAGTCATCCTCTTAAGCTAAATTCAAAATAAGACTATAACCTCATGTTAGGTTCTTCAATTGCTCTTTTGAGAGCCGTCTGTATGGTTTATATAAAGATTCATCCACCTAAATCTATTTTGTCAAATATATTTCCATTAACAAAGGTTTTGTGATTTTCAATCTTGTATATATATTTATTCAAACTTATAAATATATTTTGTAAACATTAAACAGAGGAAAAGGTGTTTCACTTTTTCTGAAACAAAAAAATACAAAAGAATGGTTTACTTATCTAATATTTAGTTGTTTAATAAAACAGTTGAACTAAATCTAGGCCTAATTTTATACAAAGAGTAGTTTCACACACGATTAGTTTTAAGTATTTATAAGTTTAATTTCAAAATAGTTTTTGTTTTCTGAAGTACCAGTTGTAGTCCAACTCCTCAGGAGAAAGAAACTGGATTCTCACCTGCAACTTCTCCCATTTCCTGTTCCATATCTGTTTCTAGAGCACCGGCAGGGATAGAGGTAAGTTGATTTATTTTTAGACCACCGGCAGGATAAGTGATTTGCTTATCAGTAGAGCACCGACAAAGTTAACGGTAGGTTGGTTTATTTCTAAAGTACCAGCAGAGTTAGCTGTACCGTTAACTCCGTCAGTATTACAGAGATAAACCAACTTACCGTTAACTTCGTCAGTATTACAGAGATAAACCAACTTACCGTTAACTTCGTCAGTATTACAGAGATAAATCAATTTCTGCTACCTCCGCTGATGCTCTAGAGATAAACTAACTTAAGTTGGTTTATCTCTGTAATACTGACGGAGTTAGCGGTAAGTTGGTTTATTTCTGTAATACTGACGAAGTTAACGGTAAGTTGGTTTATCTCTGTAATACTGACGAGGTTAACAGTAAGTTGGTTTATCTCTGTAATACTGACGAAGTTAACGGTAAGTTGGTTTATCTCTGTAACACTGACGAAGTTAACGGTAAGTTGGTTTATCTCTAGAATACTGGCGTAGTTAACGGTAAGTTTGTTTATCTCTGTAATATTGACGAAGTTAACGGTAAGTTGGTTTATCTCTGTAACACTGACGAAGTTAACGGTAAGTTGGTTTATCTCTGTAATACTGACGAAGTTAACGGTAAGTTTGTTTATTTCTAGAGTGCCGGGCTCCTGACATGGTCTATGGATTAGGGTGCTCGACTCGCAATATGGGGGGTCGCGGGTTTGAATCCTGTCACCGAACATGCTCGCCCTTTCAGCCGTTGGGACTTTATATCGTAACGGTTAATCCCACTGTCCGTTGGTAAAGAGTAGCGCAAGAGCGGGCGGTGGGTGGTGATGGCTAGTTGCCTTCCCTCTAGTTTATCATTTTTAATTTGGGTACGGCCAGCACAGACAGCCCTCGAGTAGCTTTGCGCAACATTTAACAAACAAACTCTAGAGTAAGTGATACTGTAATGAAGTGGCATGGTTTTGGATTGAAAAAAATTGGTTTGTTCAGTGGGATCAGAGAGCTTCAGTTTCCAGCTTGGGTCATGAAGAGGACTTGTTTCTTCCTTTGTCTTGGCTGCTTGTTCAGTGGAGATAGGGGATATGCGAATGGTGCACTGGTCAGATGATGAAGATGTTTCTCCTCCTAATTATCAATAACATCCAGTGGTTAAATAAATCACGATCCTTTCGAAACGAGTCCACACTACCAAAAAGAGAAGATCATTTATAGGAGAAAAAAAAGTAAAAACATTAAAACTTGTATTTCAAATGGCGCTAATCAACGTTCTTGTTACTTTTAATATCCTAGGAACAAATTTTTTCTAGTCATATAATGGTTTTGGAACAAGTCAGAAAATGCAGGGCTCCATGTTGCTAAAACTACCCTAAATTAAGATGACAAGAAAAAACTACATTGTGATCTTCAGAGAGCAAATAAAAATCACGTTGGCTACTATAATTTAAGAGTCAGGGGCCGGATGGTTATTGCCATTCCTACTTGAACAGATACTCGTTTACAATGGGGAAAAAAATGTCTCTTCAGTCTAAGAAGGATTCTTAACCACCAAGGCTAACAGACCTCTGATCTAGCAAGTTGTTGTATGCACTGATCAGGTAAGCAAGCCAAGACTGAAAACAAATGTGATTATGAATACAGATTCACATGCTGTACAAACTTTTACTCTGATATGAAGTATAAGAAGATAATAAATTTTTGAAATAATTGTTTGTTTGTTTTAAATTTCGCACAAAGCTACACGAGGGCTTTCTGCGCTAGCCGTCCCTGATTTAGCAGTGAAAGACTAGAGGGAAGACAGCTAGTCATCACCAACTCTTGGGCTACTCTTTTACCAACGAATAGTGGGATTGACCGTCATTTATAACGCCCCAACGGCTGAAAGGGCGAGCATGTTTGGTGTGACGGGGATTCGAACCCGCGACCCACAGATAGTGAGTCGAGCCCCCTAACCACCTGGCCACGCCAGGTCATTTTGAATTAATTAGATTGAAATACAAGAACAATAACAATAATAAGGTATTTATATAGTGATCTTACTTAGATGTGTTATCCAATAATAGTGAAAACAGATCCATTACTTACAAAGACCATAATAAAACGAACTTCACCATCATAGAAATAAGGGAAACAGATCTAGATGTTTAATTCATCTGTCACGTCGACTCGCATACCTTACTAAAGCTTTCGTTGGGTAAAAATAGGTTAACTTGGTCTGCTTGTTTGAACCTGGGCTGACTTTAGTTTGTCCACCGGTCAAGCAGCGTTTGAAAATGCGTTGTTATATTTTTATGCGTAGTAAAACTTAGTAGAATTTTTGCGTAATATAACTTATCTCCTTGCAATTTACTCATAAAGGGGTCAGTGTCCTTGTGAATTTAAATCCTTCACCGTCACCTATATATTTTTGTGTGCATGTACGTTCTTGTTTTTCCTTAAATGGGATTATCATCATGTTCTATTTCCTTCTTGAAACCCCGGTTTAGTTGAAAGTTAACATCTTCTCACCCCAGTTAGGTAAGCGGTAGCATAAGTTTATTTACATAACGCTTATACAGCATTAAGGTAATATGATAAAACTGTAGTAATACAGCCAGAGTAATAACGCTTATACGACATTATGGTAATATCATAAAGCTGTAGTAATATAGTGATGCCATTAACGCTGATAAGACATTAAGGTGATATCTTAAAGCCGTAATAATACAGACGTGGCAATAATGCTGATGCAACGTTAAGATACTATCATAAAACTGTAGTAATATAACCATGGTAATAACGCTAGAGCAACATTAAGGTAATTTCTACGTGAAAGCAACAAACGGAGAGGACCATATAGATATGACACTAATGGGAAGTTAATAAACAAATCTGAGCGAAGAGAACCGATTATTAGCGTAATTTGAAACAACTGAGAACAAGAGTTTTGAATGAAATCATCTTCATGTATGAGGGGGGTCTCACATTGGACAGACCATTAAGACGTTACTGGGACATACTTTTAGAGGTCAAGTAATCAACGGACATTTTCCAGTCTTGTTGGTTTTTGGTTATGGAATCTCCTGATGTCTGGTTTATCGTGAAACTTCCGCTACCTGTGTAGATCCGAAATATCCCAAGTGAAGTGCAGCTATTCGGGCAGTATCACTGTGATACAGCTGAATGATACTGCCCGAACTCGTGTCCATTACGTGATACAGCTGTGATACAGCTGAATGATACTGCCCGAACTCGTGTCCATTACTGATACTGCCCGAACTCGTGTCCATTACATGATACAGCTGAATGATACTGCCCGAACTCGTGTCCATTACGCTCAGCTGTATCACGTAATGGACACGAGTTCGGGCAGTATCATTCAGCTGTATCACGTAATGGACACGAGTTCGGGCAGTATCATTCAGCTGTATCACGTAATGGACACGAGTGGTGGTCACAATGAACGTTATTAACAAATTGGCTGTGCGAATTTCGGGATCAGCTCTTTCAACTGATAATTATTTTTGGTAAAGGAGTCTTCTTTCCAATTGGTTCATCTACCAAATCTTATAGCACTCTGTTGATTAATTTTTCGAATTATGGATGTTAAAATAGGCCAACTAACTTTATAATAATGCTGTATTTAATAGGCTCCGCGTTGCATGTGTTATTAATGATTTTTTTTTCTACATAAAGCTTTTTTTGTTTTGCTGGATATAATCTTTTTTTAATCGGTTAACTTAAGTTTTATACTTAAATCTAAAGAAATATACTAGGCGTGTAAGCAGTTCGAACAGCAAATTTTATAGTTTACTTTTGTACACATTTATGCAGTTTTAAAAATTAAACCTTATAGGTATTCTAAACCATGAAATTTCATTGATTCAAAATTCTTCTAATTACGTTTAGAGGAAGACTTTATCTAAATATCGGTTTAAAATTGTCTTAATGTTAAATCTATTTTCGTTTTCCTAACTGGTATTTCTTGTTGGTTTTTACTGCATTTCTACCGACCGAATAGTAATTTTGAAAGCTCACACAGCGAATTACGCCTACTGAGACTATATTATTTCTATATAATTCTAACTGTATAAAATAGATCATGGATTTTGACGTAATGTTAAAACTTGTTTGAATAATCTTGGTATAAGATAACAAAAATTTCCATATTTGTTTAACGATTTTTCTTTCTCCAGGCTGGACCGACGTTTTTCCCTGGAAGTGGAATATATGGACCTCTTCCACTTCACTTCAGAAACACCACTCATCACCCCTTCACTGGTTTTGTTGGGCATCCTTGTAAGTCC